TGCGTTTTCGGTGAGTTCAGTAACTTTGCGTTCACATCTTCAACTGTTCATGTGACCTTGCTGTTTCGCAATAAATGTATTTCACATTGGACTCAGCATTCTTTCATTAAGAACAAAATGACCAAACAAAAAGAAATACTTTTTCGAAAAGTTCTCGACGATCTGTATAAGAACGCTGATCGGTTTGACGATCGAATTTCGAGGCGACTGTTATCTTCGGCTGCAAATAATATTTCACTCAGCATGCGAGCTTGGATTATACAGGGTTTCAAGACCGTCATTTCCATGAATGATGTGAATTTCAAGAGTTTAGAACAATATAACGATTGATATTTTGATCCTTTCTGAGAGTTTCAGCTGTAAAATTATACCAATTATATACGGAAAGAATACAATTTCATTATTGGTCAACAAAAAGTATCACTGATTTTGCCGGTATTGTTACCAAAGTTGCAAGATCGCTTACCGGATGAAGAGAGGCTTCATCAGGATCCAATCCCATCTTTTGCGCTTTATGACGTATCATTTGAATTTGTCTTTNCTTACCGGATGAAGAGAGGCTTCATCAGGATCCAATCCCATCTTTTGCGCTTTATGACGTATCATTTGAATTTGTCTTTCTTTCAATTCTTTCAACTGAATTTATTTATTAAATTTCAGCGAATAAACATGATCACTTGAAGATGATGAATGCATAAGGTTTCCTCCATTGAATCATACGATAAATTCATCGTTTGTTCGTTTCTAATAATTTGGTACGAAACAATGAATTCAAGCATGCACTCACGTCATACTCAAGTCGTTCATGTCTCTTCTCCAAATCGTACTTGTCACCCTCTGAACGCACAATCCGTTGATACAACGTTTGAATCTGCGCTTTCAGATCGTTCACCATAAGTGACGTAAGATCGGGTTTCTTTCTGATTGCGATCATGAACGCTTTTTTCGCTTCTTCTCGTTGTTGTTTCTCCAATTCAGCTTGGGCCTAAAAATGATACCATCGTGTTTATGCTGTGAATATTTTGCAACTTAAGTAGAGGAATTTCATCTGAGTTCACTTCTAAACAACTTTCTAATCCGTCTGAATTGCTGAGCGATTCAATGATAGTTCAATGAAACCGAACTGCTCTGTGACGTTAGTAAATATTCGGAGTTCAATGCATCGGAAGTAACGTCGCAGAAAAATTTGTTTGCATTGTATTTTACTGGCTATATCTGGATGAGCGTCAGTAATATGATTAGATGAGAGTTTACTGTGTGGATATTGTATGATTAATAGGAATACGTACAGTAGCCGACATGGTCGTCTTCTCCTCGCCCGGCCTTTGGCGTGATACCGTATAATTGGGAGTGCCACTAGATGCACCAATGAATGACCCGCTCACTTCCTCTTTCTTTCTTCGTTCCTCCTCCTTCTTTTGCTTCTCTGCTTCACGGCGACGTCGTCTCTCATCCTCAAATCGACTACGGTGAAAGCATCGCAATGAGAGAAACTTCAGTACTTGCTGTGTGCATCTTATCAACGATCTTATCACTNCTCAAATCGACTACGGTGAAAGCATCGCAATGAGAGAAACTTCAGTACTTGCTGTGCATCTTATCAACGATCTTATCACTACGATCAACTCTTCCAGTTAATGTTGAGGGGATTTTCGAAGAATGGTGCTCATTCCTTAATTGTTCTTCATGGGATGAGCAAAAATTTCCTGAATTGTTCATGTTCCCCGATGATAACAAAATTGTATTTGTTCACGTTGGTCAGCATGAACAGCTCCACTGTTCATACTTACAGTTGTTTGCTGATATGCTCATGAGTTCCTCAGAATGATTTCAATAAATAATCAGAAATCAGTTAGATGGGATCAATTTTTGTTTTACGTCAAATGAACGATTCTCATGGCTTCCCGCATTGATAGTGCTTTTCAAAATATTGGTTTCAATCTATTTTATGGCCTTCCCAGAAAATAGATGTCTTCGAATTTATCAGTTTTAGGACAGATTTGTAAATTTCCGAGACAACAGATTTTGCGTTCTACGCTCTACGTGAACAAAATTGGAGCGAATCGATGAACCTCTTCTCGTCTATTTCGTTCCTCAACTTCACGCATTTTGGCCGCAAACTCTCGTTCCTCTTCCTCGCGTTCTTCACGTCGTCTTTGTTGTTTTTCCTTCAGAACCCTCAGCTCCTCCTCTACTTCCTCCTTTTCTATTCGTCTCTTCTCATAATATTCGGCCATTCGAGCCTCTTCCTCTTCCTCATGACGCTTCTTGGCTGCCTGTTCATGAGATCATATCATAATCAATGTCATGATGAAGTGATAAGGACCCAGCTCGAATGAATCAAAATATCGATTTAAACATCTGTAGTCAAAGTTTCAAAATATTGGTTTCAATCTTACGACACGTAAATATTTGAAATGAAATGCAGCTAGCATTTCATTGCTCATCACCCAGAAAAATTTGACTTGTGAAAAAGTTGATGAAAACTGTAAATTATGAAGAATTTAGGAAATAAGTCAATATGAAAACAAATTTTGTCACTTCATCATTTCTTTCCTCAAATATTCGTTAAATTCACTCCTCATTCAATAACGATAGGAAATCGAATGGCATGCTCAAATTTCATCAAAATGTTTCGGTTTTTAAGATACCAGCATAGCTTGAGCAGCTTCGGTGAGAGCCTCGGGTTCTTTCTCCTCTTTTTCTTGAGGTGCACGTCGTAATCTTTAAAGTAGAAAGTTTATGAAATGATTTGAAAATTACAAATCCCAAAAATTGAACAATTTTTCTTGGCAATGTGATATCGTTGAACGATTCCTGAACGGAATGAAATTAACGACTTGTTGATTTACTTGAGTTCAGAATGACCAAAGAGAAGGCTCTGAAAAACCGGAGCTTTTTTGACACTCCCTCAACTTTTCCAGCGAAACATTGGCTATTTCCTCCATGGAATGAGGGATATGTGTTCCATCCGGAATACTGAGATGAACTTCAATATGCAACAGAGCGTAACTTACTTTGCTTCTTCATGACGTTCTTCCTCGCGACTGAAATAGAATTAATTTTACGTTTTCACTCTCAGAACACATCATTTCCGCTCATATTTAATAATCTGCACGACACTAATGATGTTGTTTGCAAACTCATCGCACTATCATCTTCATTATCTAATGAAAAAAATTGTCTTTCCCTTCCGACACAGTTCAATGAACCACCAATTTCGAAACCACATAATGAAGTATTGCTAAGTTGATCGAGCACCTCTGGGATGAAAGTCATTTCACTGAGAGAATGCCTGATGTAATAGTGTGGGATGTGTACTGGATAATTAGTGCTTATGCTTTTAAAATCCATTCCAGTGTTTATTACTAATCACTCACTCTAATCTATTCATCTCTACCAGACTTCTGTCACATCAGATTGAAATCATGTCTGCAGAATGGAT